TTCATCATCCTTTTCCTGCAAGTAAAATTCAGGATCAGCATCTCTTGGGCGCGATGAAATATATTTTTCATAATATGAAATAATTTCTTCATTATAAGGTATTAAAATCTTGTCTGCCTTTCCTCTGCTTCCAAATGCTCCCCTTTGATTGGTTTTACTACGATAAATATATACTGTAAACCCTCCATCTTCTCTTTTTACAAAATCCTCTAATAGAAGTGTAGAATGCTCTTCACCCGGATACCTAATAAAATTGCATTATAAAAGTAAACACGATATAACAATCATTCTGGTGTTGTGCCATCTAATATTTTGTGATTAAGAATTGTTGAAATTTCATCTGTGGTTAGTGCATCAGCACCCTTTGCAGCATTGAGGCCCAAGTCAGAAAGTAACTTTATCTTTCCATTAATAACTTCCCAAAAAGTTGGAAAAGTTGCTTGGTTATGAAGGTCTAAGCCAGTTATTACTGAATTTTTGACAAGATGTCGATGTATAGCAGCAATAGCACAACGGATAGAACTTGCAGAATATTGTTGTCCATTTTTCTGTTTCATTTCTGCTATATAGGTTGCTAGTTGCTTATCAAGTTCCTGTGCTGAAGATACGTATTCAATTTTTTCTTCTACAAATTTTCCTCTTCTAAACTCTTCAAGATTACGAAGCCAGATTTTTGTGGCATTGGTTGTGCTCTTTACTTGTCCAAATTCTTTAAAAAATTCAATATTACTGTTATACTCATTTGCCTATAATAAAAATGCATAAAATAAAAAGATAATATTTTATTATTAGCATAACAATCAAATATTCATAAAAATATATTACTTTTGAAGTTTGTGCACGTTTATTGCTTTCTTTTGACATTACATTATTTATGTACTAAAAGATTCAATAAAGGTGATTTAGAAAGAGAAGAAGAAGCAAGCTTTAATATGACGTAAATAAACTAATAAAGTATAAAAAAAGTTTAATGATGGTCATTCTGATCTGTATATTAATATTGTTATTGTACGGGCGTGCTTGATAATGATCTGATGTGGCACTCCGTGCCACATCATACCATTATCAAGCACGCCCGTACAATAACATACAAATAATAGTCTATTACCAATCTACTGTTATTAAAAAAGAGTGATAGAAAACTTATTTTACCAACCTATTTTTTTTTACCAACCTATTATATTAAAAAATTCCAGAAAATTCTTTTTTATACCATACTGATCTATTGTATTAAAAAAAATCTCAGAAATTTTTTTTGTATCCATTATACTATATTGATCTATTGACTCTAGTCTACTTCAGAATTAATTGATTGGCATTTTGATCACAAAAACTAAAAACTAACCAAAATTTGCGATTAAAGTTCAATTTTGAGCAGATGATTTATTGATCGTGATAAACTATTAACCAACCAATTAATTAGTATTTTGTTGTTTTTGTTTATTTCTGTCAGTATTATCTACTTGATCAAAACGATCTACGTTTTTGGTGTTTCACGTTGAACGGTCAGTTGGTCATCTTACAGTTAAATTTATTGGTCATAATTTTTAGTGTAACCGATCAAAAATCACGATCAAAAGTAGAAAAAAAATTCAGAAAATTTCTTTATATCTATCTATTATATATACTATACCGATTGTCCAGCCTCCCAAGTAAAAAGTTTTATTCTAAGCTTTAAACATACGGTAAAATTATTGAAAATAGTAACAGATAACGTTCTAAATTCAAAAAAACTTTTAAAAAAAAGACTAACTTCACATTCTGAGACTCTGAGACGTGATTTGCTGTGTTACCAACTAATTGAATTATAGTATACAAGACCATAATTTAATAATTTTTAATACATCTTAAATAAAATTATGCAATTTATTTTCTTCAAATGTATGGCTATTTCAACTGAATTAACTGAATTAATTACCAATGAATCAATATCAACTAGATTAAAAATATTTAATCTTGTGATTCCATCTACAAATAAAAAAGTAGTTCAATATGACAACAATTGAAATTTAGTAGTGGACTGAACGATACATAAATACATAATGAATGGGAATTGCAAAATTATCAAAATTATCATGTTATTATGAATTATGTATTTCAATAGGAATACTAATTTATCTCTCCATAACAGGTTGTTAAAATTACTCAAAAGAACACTTCTCAAATTTCCTTGATCTGCTAATTGTATAATCATCATAAATTCTTTAGTTTTTCTGTCTTTAGTTATTCCATAAAATTTTAAATAAGAATTGCTATTTTAAAAATTCCAAAGTATTTTATTCTATATCGATTTAAAAGTCAATAAGTTGCAACAATAATTTTCAGTTTATATTTAATAATCACTTAACAATAAATTTAAATATATAGTTGAAATGTTTTGAGATTCATTTAATTTTTTTAAAGCTACTTTTATGGGTTTAGGTTCTTTTTTTTTCAACTTTCATCATTTTGTTTAATATATTTTGCATTACTATTGCAGAATGTCCTTATTATGGGCTAATTTTGTTGAGCTAAACCGCGATGGGCATAGGATATAAAACCATTCCTTTTTTGTATAACATACGTGTAGTTCAAATTGATTAGCAACACAGGATTTCATGTCAGGTGAATAACAAAAATTATTTTGCAATAACAACCCATCAGGCTCAAGATACGTGAAATTCAAAAAATTGTATGATAGTTTCTCTTAATTGTTTTTTTTTTACAAATTTTATTTCTCTCACATTATTAAACCATTCAGATTTCTACGGTTAAGACTTCCGATTAAAAAAAAATTCTCTAAAAAATATCCAATGAAAAATAAAACAAAAAAAAAAGAATAAAAAAAATTTTGGTTGTTAACCGAAAGAAACAATAATAAAAAAGAGAAATAAAAAAAATTAATAAGAAAAAGACTAAAAAGACTATTTCAGTCTTTACGGTAAAAACCGAAAAATAAAAAAAATTATTATTATAGAAATGGTTAGTTTATATGGTAACTAACTAAACTGGGAGCGGAAATGACCTCAAATAAAATGCATTTAATAAGAAAAATTATACTTTTTTTGTTAGTATTAATCCATCAAAATAAAAAAAAAATCCAGTTAAAATTTTAATTAACCGGAAATGTATTAGTTTAAAGATTGGTTATCGTAGTCAGGAAACTCAATCAAATTTCCTTAATTATGATATGATAAATATGAAAGCAAGAATATTACACTTTTCAATGTTACACAATTCAAATTATTTATACAGGGTCTAAATATGAAAAAAGCTATCGTAAAAAATTAAAATAAAACTAATTATAAGCATTTTCTTTTTTTTTTTTGACGATTCTTTGTTGAAAATTTAAAATTAAATAAAATTTAGTAATAATACAAATCTTTTCACTCCATAATGTCGACTTGTTTTCTCATTAATAATCAATATTCATTCTCGGTGCATGTTATTTAAACTTTATACATTATATATTGATTATCAAGAGAATGAACGTATCAAATTGTATTTTAGAAAGTGAGAGAGGCAACAAACATTTGAGGAATAGGAATAATCCCCACAATTTATATCGTATAGTATTAAATGGATTTGGATTTAAAATTATTACATTTTGCTAAAAGGGTTTTTACTTCAAATCACCGGGGGTGATCATCACCGTTGGCCAGAATTATCAATTTTTACCGGCACTATATTTTTTTAATTCTGGTCGATTGTCATAATTTCAGTCACCGGTGATCATCACCCCCGTGATAGAAAAATTTTAGAAAATAATTCTTTCATCCGAAACTGGTGAATATAAAAAAATTTATACCAAATTGCTCGCGCATTTCAATTTAAATAATATATTTATTCATCAAATTTCCAAATTCAGAATAATAAAATTCAAAGATTATTTTTATTTTTGTATTATGCCATTACTGTATTATAACTAATTTAAATTTCAGAATTAATTTTTCAAAATTCATTTGTATATAAAACATATAAAACATCTTTATCCTTGAATTAATAAAATAAGTAAAGGATTAAATTACATTGATTTACTGATAATTGTCGTTTCTTTAGATTGATTTTATTTTATTTTTTCTTTTTCGTTATTGTAAAGACAATGAAAAGATGAATTCATATTTTTTATAAAAGTCGTAATATAAATTTAGATTTCCTAATAAGATTACTAAATTTTACAGCCTGAAAGCATTTTATAATATTTAATTTGTTGATTATTACTTTACTCAATTTTTTATTATAATGAGCAAACCAAGTTATATAAATATATATAGATATAATAATTCAATAAATAAATAATGAATATATTTCAATATATTCTCAAAAATACGAGTATATAAAAAAAAATAAAAAAATTGAATATTTGTTTCCAGCGAATACATAATTATACTTCATCTGTTCCCTTATCTACAAATGCAAAAATTAAAAAAAAATTGTAATAATTACAAAAATATAAGAAAACATACCAAAGTGGCGTAAAAAAAACTAAAAACATGTAAATAAAATGATGCTTGCTCTTGGCCAGATGTATGGTAAATTAACCTACAGCTGTTTCTCCTGAACACCACGTAGAGGTGGCAAGTTTCGTTCAGGTAAAAAAAAAGCCACTTACCTTAAAACTTCCGTATCCACTTCCGTATATTGTTGACTTTCTCTATGATTTCTGCTAGAGTCCATTCCATTAAATCTTTGTTGACCGTATCTTTGTCCATCAATTCGTCTGTGTTGTTCGTTCCAGTGTTGTAGTATCATGAATTAAATTAAAAACAATGCTGAGGGCATTTTAAGCAAAGAGGTAATGGAGTGGAAGGTATTGATAAAGAATGTAATGATGGTGATGAAGAAGGTTCCGGTGGTGGTTGTGGAACCTATAAATATATACAAGAGTTAAATGCCACAATCCATCAGCTGGTATAACAAATTTAATTTATTAATACTTACAGGTTTTTTATGACGCTTCCTTGATGGAGGTCCTACATTATAGTCAACCCGTTCCAGATTTCGAGGATTTAATTGGCGGGTTAAAGATGGTGTTGGTCTCTTTCTTTTATTTTTTTTTTTTTGGGGTTTCTAGGTTCTAAACCACCCACATCAGCTCCAGGAAAGACATTGTTATTTCCTTCTTCATCATCCACAGTTGCAGCAGAAAAGACACTATTTTTGTCTTCTTCATTGCCTATATCTTCATCCAAATCACCAGGTCCTAAACCCCCAGGAGAGACATTGTTATTTCCTTCTTCATTAGGATCTCCACCTATTTCTTCATAAAATCCATCACCCACAGCTACACCAGAAAAGACACCGTTATTGTCTTCATTAAATTTTCTGCCTAAATTTTCGTCAATGCCACCAGGTCCTAAAACACCCACAGCAGCACCAGGAGGGACACTGTTATTTTCTTCTTCATTAGGGTCTCCACCTATTTCTTTATCAAATTCATTACCTGCAGCTGCACCAGAAAAGACCTCATCAAAGTCATCATCAATGTCTCCACTAAAATCTAGTCTTTTCTTGGATTCCCATTCATTGGAAATTTCAGCAAGTTCAATCTTCGTCATTTGTATCTTATTATTTACTTCAGAAAGAGCAAGATAAATACAGTCCCTCTCAGCTTCATACTCTAAAAGAACTCGCTTCTATAAATGATGTTAGAAGTTCTTATATGTCTGGCAAAATCTGAATAAGGGGACTGCCAGAAATGACGTCATTTCCTAAGGGGGGAGGGGGGTTAAGACCATGATGATGTTACACATCTTCCATTTCTAGACACTTGTAGTTAATATAATTCTAGCCAGAATTATGTTTTAATTTTACATTTCCTAAATGAATGATGACATGGGGAGGAGAGGGGTCAAAAATCCTAAAATTTAAATTACGTCATTTCTGGCCATCCCCTAAGTCTAGAGCTCTGAATAGGTCAGACCAGTTCAGGTCAACTAAGAAATCAAAACTGATTTTTTATTTTTCGATTTACATAACAAAAAATAACCAACTTTTTATTAAATTAATAAAAAATTAAGGTTTTTCAATTTTTATAAATGAAAATGACTGATTTTTTATTTTAATAAAAACTCGGTCAATTTACATAACAAAAATACAAAAATAACCAATTTTTTATAAATTAATTCAAAATTGGGGAGGTTTTCAATTTTCATAATATAAATCTTCATGGGATGCAGTCATGCAGCTATGTAATAAAACAAACAACAAAGCTGATGTTGCTCATTATTAAAAGTTTTTAAATAAAATATAAAGTTATGAAAGAACCACTTCATATTAAACGAAGTGTATGAGATCGGCAAAATTTTACACTAATCATTTTATGTCACTGATCAGCGAAATTAATGGATCTTTCAATTTTCATAACGAAAATCAGTTTTTTTAAAAACCGTTAATCCTGAATTAACCTTGACCTGTTCAAAGCTCTATGAATGACATAAGTCAACATACCTTCTTACACTCCTGAATAATACTACACCAGTAGTCTTTTAAATGGTCCGCATGTCGCAACCGTTCCTTCTTGATCTATTATAAGAAGGTATTGTTAGAGTGTACTGATTATTTTTCATTTAGTAATAAAGGCAAACTGTTCATCCTCCAGAACAGATATACCCTTACTAACAACGAAGAAAGGATGCCCGAATAAGAGGTCCTGGAGTGGTTACCAAGCGGTCAAATTCAGTAATTTTCCAAGATAACCCCTAGGAGCGACTGGAGTTCACCTTTCTTCGCAAAATAAAAAAAAAGACTGTACCTTTCCATTTAAGGCAGTGAAATTGTCTTGGTTTAGTCTTTTTGCTTCATCCAAAAAACGACTTAACCAAGAACTGTCAAGATTTGTCCAGCTAGCGAGAATAACATTGACGAAGTGATAATAGTATCTCGGCTGCAAGATAAAAAACCAAGATACGATTTATCTTGGTGCTGCTGCAAGTATGAAACAAGGATATCGCGTCCCATATATGTTTCATCAAAGTTGGAAGTAGACATAGTGAAAATATCTTTTTTCTATCGTATATTGAGTGAGATTACAGATACTTTTTATAAAAATAAAAATTAAAGATTACTTTTATAAAATAAAAAATAAAAATCACTTTTATAAAATAAAAATTTAAAAAATACGCGTTAGTAAAAAATCAAAATTAAAAAATACGCGTTAGGCTATAGCTTATTTATGTATATTTAGTGATGTAATATAATCACGCTAATTGATATATTAAGTCGTTGTACGACTCCTGAATCAATAAATAGATCCCCGAAGTCCAAAAAAAATCACATAATTGATTTCGTGATTTTAATTAAAGTCCTATACTACAATAGAATCACGCCATCTTATTAATCGCGGTGATCTATGTAATCCCATAAACTATATTTAAGCCAAATCGGCTAAATTAAATTGGAGTATATAGTAAATTAGATAACAGACGGACCTTTAAAATAAAAAAATATTTTTCTGTATTTGGACGGACCTTTACTAATTTTGCTTTCCATTTGGGTTTGAAATAAACCGGTTCTGCAATCATTTTCGTATTTGTAATAGGCATCTTTCAAATAGAATTCCGCAAAAAGAAAGCTTAATACACGGTGTTACCACA